ATCTCCCTAGTCCTCTAACAGGTTTTTTTTTTTTTAAACTGGGAAAAAAGTATATATTTAGAATTAGCCAGCTAGACTCAGTTTAGATGATTCCAATTTTGTTGGCAACATCCAATGCATCATAATCAGGAGCCAGTCAAACATATGCCTTCTTCTCTCTATCAGGCCTGATTAGAGTACTGACCTTGGCAACATCGATGTCGTAGAGCTTCTTCACAGCTTGTTTGACCTGGTGCTTATTGGCTTTGACATCCACAATGAACACAAGTGTGTTGTTGTCCTCAATCTTCTTCATGACTGACTCTGCGGTCAGGGGGAACTTGATGATGGCATATTGGTCAAGCTTGTTTCTCCTGGGGCGCTCTTCTGAGGGTATTTGGGCTGCCTCTGGAGCTGCAGTGTCTTGGGATGGCAGAAATTGGGTGACGTTCATATCTTTTTCTTTTTGTGGCTGTGGATGCCTTTCAGCATGGCCTTCTTGGTCTTCAAAGCTTTTGCTTTGGCTTCAGCTTTGGGAGGGGCAAGGGCTTCCTTATTCACCTTTGGCCCCAGCTTGGTTAAAAAGGCCTCTAACAGTTTTATTGGGATATAATTTACACAGCATATAGTTCACTGACAAAGTGAACCATATCAAACACATTATAATGTGTTTATAAATTTGCGTAACTATCATGTCCTGCCTTTATTTTTATTTATTTATTTATTTATTTATTATTTTTTTTTTGCAGAACCAGGGATTGAACTCAGACCCTTGCACTTGCCAGGCAAGCACTTATTCTACTGAGCCATCTCCCCGGCCCATTGCCATTTATTTTTATTTATCTATTTTTTAAATGTATTTGGTTGTTGCAGGGTCTCACTATGCAGCTTGTACTCATGGTGAGCCTTCTGCTTTTAGCCTCTCCAGTGCTGGGATTACAGGCATGTGCCACTACACCCAGATTCCTGCCACTCAGCCCACCCTGGGGGTGGGGCTGGCGCAGCATGTGGTGCCTAGGATTGAACTGCAGTCCCTGTGCTTGCCTAAGCTTGCCTAAGCAGTTGTGTTGGTCTGCTGAGCTATCGCACTGGCCCTCCTGACATTTATTGAATAATTTTATCATTTCAAACCAAATCTTGGGCTGGGGTGATAGCTTGGTAGTCTAAGCGCCTGCCTGGCAAGTGCAAGGTCCTGAGTTTTATCCTCAGTACCGCATGCTGTGCCCTGGAACCCCCAGGCATACCATGTTGGCCTGAAACTGGGTGTGGTGGTGCACATCTGTAATCCCAGTACTGGGGAGGCTGAGACAGGAGGCTCACAAGTCTGAGCCGCATAGCAAAGCCTATATCAAATAATGATAATGATAATAATAATAATAAAAACCTACCAGTAGCTGTCGCCAGTTTTCTCCTTCTGTGTCCTCCAACCTGCTCATCTCTTCCTTCGCCAAGTACTAAACAGATCTCTAATAGTGGTGGATTGACAACAGGTGGCCAACTTGTAACTCCCAGCTGAAGCTTAAGAGTCAGAGTGGAGTGGAAGTTTATTTATTTTTTGGGGCTACAGTATGGCCCTTTTGGCTTTATTCATCATTTTGTCCATGTTTTTGTCATGAGAAAGGGAAAAGGGTGCAAGAAGCAAACCAAATGCTTGGGCAGCCCTGGTGGAGTGGAAGTTTAGAAGCTGTTGGGGTTGTCCGTTTTCCTGGAGGAACTTGTCATGCTGGCTTTCCTTGTCATGAGCTTGGCTGTTCCTACTGTCGAAGGAGGCCGGGACCCTGTTGTCACTGAAACGGCTACTGCTCACTCTGGGGAGCTCTGGTCCTTGCTTTGAGCATTGCCTCCTGGCTCCCAGCACACAGCTTAGCCTCCTGGAGAAGGTTGTTGCTTTAGCTTTTGTGATAGGAGCTCAGGTGCTCCCACTGTGGGGGCAGCTCGGGACCTCACTGTGGCTGAGGGTGGCTGTGGTACCTTTCGGGGCAGTTCTGGTTCTTGCTTTTAGTGTTGCTTCCTGTCTTAGTTACTTTTTACTTGTTGCTGGGACAAATACCTGACACTCAAAATGAGGGAAGGAAAGGTTTATTTAGCTCACAGTTACTGGAGGGTTCAGTCCATATTCCGCTGGCTCCAAGGCAAACGTCAGCAGTTCACGCGGCAGAAAACAATGAAGAGCAGAGGAGGAGCAGCAGCTGCGGCGTCCCTCAAGCCTCTCTCTTCCTTCTGCGCTGACTGCAAAGACCAGCGCTCCACAGTGAAGATCAGAGCTCCTCCGAAGTGGCTCGGCTCCAAAGATCAAGCTCCTCTGAAGACAGACTTCAGGGAAGCAGGGGAGGGCAGGGTGGCTTCCTGCCTTGCTCAATTCCTGGGTCCTGCTCACCTGCAGGGCTGGGCCCCCATGCTGAGATCTGCCCGAGGTGATCCAGCCAAGTTGACACACAATGCATCAACTAACACACTTCCTGGCTCCAGAGCTGGCACAGACCCTTCATCCAACTGGCACAGACTTTCTAGCTTCTACCCCTGAACTCTGGGCCTTTCCAGCACAGATCAGTGTAGCAGCCCTGCAAAAGGCATTGTCGTGAGCTCTAGGCCTCCAGTTGAATTCGTGGGAGGCATTGTTATGGGCTTTAGGTATTCAGCTGGTCTCATGTAGGACATTGCTGTGGGATCCAGGCCCTTAGCTGGGTTCTTTGGACTTCAGTGTGTGGAAAGATTTCCTGCACTCTTCTTGCATATGACTCTGGGTGACTATTATAACCTTATAAACTATGTGTTGTGTATTGTTCCCCTTATAAAACCTTGAACTCTAACACTTATCTTCCTCTTTTTGTTGGTTTCCTCATCCTGGTCTTCCATAGTAATGGAGTCCAGTAGTATGTGACTTTTTGTGACTGGCTTGTTTCAATGAGTGTAATGCTATCACAGTTTACCTGTATTGTAGATGTGTCACTGCCTCATTCTCTTTATGACATAATATTCTGGTGTGTGGATAAAGCCAGTGGTGGCGAACCTATGGCATGTCTGTTACTTTTCTTTTAAGACAAAAGATGTTAATGTATGTGTTGTTTTTTCTAACCTAAAACTTTAGTGTCCATATTTAATCACCACATTGGCATTTTATTTTTAAATTTTTAGGGTTTTTTCATTCAGCAAGTATTTATTTATTGAGTGCCTCCTCTGTACCAGGTATTGGAAATATAGAGGTGGACAAGTCTTTATGAGGTCCTTGCTCTCATGGAGCTTATACTCTGTTATAGTCAATATTACTGAAAATCACAACCTTACATTTATTATTTGTCCATAATTTTATTGAGAAACAAATAGCGATGAGGCAGTTTCAAATCAAATTGGTAGGACAGTTTCAATAATTAACACATTGCATACTGCCTTCCTAGTGGTTATTTGTTGTACAAGATGCAGAAATGATACCCTATTTACAAACATTATTAGAACAAATCCCTCTATTCATTGAATTAAGAGATTGTAGCTATATATCTATCCTAACCATTTTAAATACATAGATACAAGATGGTTATTCATCTGTATCCCCCTTTTTTTGTTTAGTTCCATCATTTAAACATTATAGGTGTGTGAACTCAGCAAAATATTCCAAAATAGTCCAGTGTCTATAATAGTATTGGGTCTTCCACTTGACTGACAATATCAGAAGTTGTTGACCTGAGTCTCCTACAGCTCAACATAGCAACATGGCTTTATTTCTTATACTCTTGTTTTTATAATTTTCGAGGGATGGTTAAGACCAAGATAAAGCAAGACCTATGTAACAAGAATTAGCTTTTGCATCTGATAAGGTCAGTCAAGTCCCCTCAGGATTTATCCTGAGATCCTGTATCTCAGATTGTAGATCCTTTGTCAGTGTCAGCCATGTGGATGAGTCACAGCCATTACTTGGCCAATGTGCTTTCTGTGAAAGCCTGAGAGAATGTTTTCCCTCCATGTGACTCTCCTTAGGCACACTCTATATCACTGATCACTTTCCTTGTTGACCCCAAATCTCCTTGATCAGAAAATTTGGGACACAACTGAGTTACATGATGTTACAGTACAAGTTCTCATATGTCCTGAGAGTTAATTGACCTTGGAAGGCTAGTGCCAAAATGTTGACTTTCCTTGTGGCCCTCCTTTTTCTCTAATTTTTGGTCTGCAAACTTAGGTTTTTAACCGTCCAGAAGAAAAGCTTATTGTTATTACCATACAACCTAGGCTGTTGAGCTTAACCTCACTATCTGTCTGAATATGAAACATCTTAGGCATAACATGGAACAGGTATTTTTCATCAAGTATTGATATACAACCTTACATTTAATGATAAATAAGTGGGTTTGGGGTTATAGTTTGGGCTCACATCTCTAAAATGTTCACCATTACTGAGATAGACCGTGATTTGTTTGCTGATGGGTGTTTACATTGTTTCCATCTTTTAGCTATTAAGAATAATGCTTCTATGAATATCTGAGTAGAAGTTTCTGTGTGGATATGCTTGCATTTCTTTTAGGGGCATATACCAGAGTGGAATCTTGGGTCATGGAAACTCTTGTTTGAGAAACCACCAGACTATTTTCTAGAGCAGCTACACTGTTTTACATTCCTACCTGCTGTGTCTGATGGTCCTAATTTCTCCACATCTTCACCAACACTTATTGATTTGACTTTTTGATTCTAGCCTTCCTATAGAGTGTGAGCAGATAGTGATGTTAAAACAATTCGGGAAGGATTTTTTTCTGTTTTTAATAGTTTTCAAATGCCACTTATAGTTTTAGGCCTTCTCTTTCCTATTGCCTATGAGAGCTGGACTGCCAAGACGTCGTGTTTCCTGCCACAATAATAAAAGAGATTTCATTATTTGTTAATCCAGAAATTTCATTGACTAAAACCAATGTGGCATACTGTTGTAAATGTGTGAGTTGAGGAGAAACGGAAGTGGAGAAGTGGGGCTGCTTGTTTGCTCTGGGGTGTGGCATCTGACCCTGGTGTGTCTGACAGGTGCCTTTGCCTTTCAGGAGGACTGGCGTTGGCCCAGGTGCTCTTCTTCTACGTGAAATACTTGGTTCTCTTCGGTGTCCCAGCCCTGCTCATGCGCCTGGATGGACTCCACCCGCCGCCTCTCCCTCGCTGCGTGAGCACCATGTTCAGTTTCACAGGGATGTGGAGGTCAGTTGCACGGTTAATGGAAGTCCCTTCAGGGTATCCCATGGGAGAGACCACGGCCCAGCCAGTTTCAGAGAACTTGGCTGCCATCTTTTCTCTGTTCCTCACTCAAGCCCCATTTCAATTTCTTCATACAACTAACAGGATGGTTGCCTGTGTCCTCCAGACTTCTCTAGATTATCATCAAGCCAATAAGTTAGGTAAGAGAGTTTCTCACCAGGTCTGTGTGACTATGTAAAAGAGTCATGTTTGCAGTTGCTTCTTCCTAGGAACATGCTGCTATGTATTGATTGTTTTATTGCTTTTTTTTGTCTTCCTTGAAAATGATATCTGTGAGACTTGATTAAAAATAATCTCAGGGTAATACCTAATCCCATGTTGCTATTTACTAGTTCTCAGATCTGAGCCATTTTACTAAGTTGCTCTGTACTATTTTTCTTATTTCAATAGTAATAACCATAGTAATAATGATGTCTATCTTTAAGAATTATTTTTGTGATTAAAATAAGATGTATGTAGAACATCTGATACATAGCATAGGGTTGCAGATGCCTTTATAGTATTCCTATGCTCATTACACGTGGGTAGACAAGTGCTTTTTCTGAGTTCTTTTATACCCTGGCCCGCCTGCCAATTCTTTCTTTCTTTTCTTTTTTTCAGTGTATTTGGTACAGGGTCTCCCTATGCAGTTCCAGCTCATAGTGATTCTCTTGTTTTCAGCCTCCCCAGTGCTGGTATTACAGGTGTGTGCCACCATGCTTGGACTTGGTGGCTGACTCATCAGGCCAGGGGTGGGGGCAGGGCTGGTGCAGCTTATGGTGCTGGGGATCAGACTCCTGTCCCTGTGCTTGCCTAAGCAGGTACTTAGTCCGCTGAGCTATCTCGCTGGTGAGCCTCTGGCCATTTTGGATATCTTTTGCTCCTGTGCTTTGCTTATCACTCCCAGGGGGTGACAGGTGACAGGTGACAGGAGTGCTTTGTTAGCTACAAACCTAATGCAGGAACTTAAGGGTGGGTGCTCCCTCAACCTTTGGAAGCAGTGCCTACTTAATTTTACCCTCAGGATACCTAATCTTGGCCCTGTTGGAATTGCCATACTGCCTCATTTATGTGACTTGTTCAGTCTTATATCTCAGCTCTTCAGAGGAAGAACTCTATGAATTTTGCCATATTTAATGTTGCTATTCAAAAGGTGGGGTCGTACTCAGTTTTCCATACTAACTTATTACACATGCTGAGTTTATCTAAGTCTCTTTCAATGTATTTTATTTTTGATCTGACTTGATTGGGGGAGGGATAGAAATTTCATACAGTTGTTGCAAGAAATGTCAAGTATTTGTTTTATTTGTTCTTAATTATGTCATTGGATACCAGTTTGCTCTGTGGTGACAAGACTGGGGAGTGTTAACAAAGGGTGTCTCCCTACTGGGGTTGCGGGTTGGCTTTTGTTTGAAAGGTGAACCTGCCTGGAAGTTCTGTTAACGTTTAACCTACTCTGAAAAGTAATTTCCTGTCTTAGTGGTTGGCACCAGCATGACCGGGGACCATGTACAAGTGTCTGGTGTAATCCTAGAGGAACTTCTCAGCGTCCAAAGTGTGAATGCCTACACCAGTGGGAAGCACACTCTCTGAGGGCCTTCTACACTATGGGCTTCCATAAGAAAACCATGACTCCTGGCAAGCAGGCCCCCTCTAGATGCCTGGCTCCTTGTCCACAGGTATTAGCCCACTTTTTCGCACCAGATACAGCTCCTTCAGTTGACTCTTTCACTTTCTGAATGGTGTTTTGTTGTCTGTTTGTTGTTGTTACTTTGCCAAAGAAAGTCTAGGTCCCATGTAAAGCAGAGGCAAAGAAACCTCCCTGTCAAGACTCATCACTTTCTTGATTAGAACTAGACTTAAGTAGTTCAGGCATGAGCTATTGAAGCACTTTCTTCTCTGTTCCAGTTTTAAGACAAACGTGGGCAAGAGCATAATGAAAAGTTAGCCTGAAGAGGAAGGTCTGGGCCAGGGATACAGCTCAGCAGCACCATGCTTGCCTGGCAAGCTTAAGGTCCTGAGTCTGATTCTCAGTACACAGCCCCACTCCCTCACCAAGAAAATAAAGAACCCTCATGCCTGATGAGGAATGTATGAGGTGAGCCTTTGGAGCACTGTGGTTCTAACAGCTGTTTTACATGGGATGAAATACCAAATAGGTTCTTTCCACAGAGTGACTTGGGCTCCTGTCTTAGTTTCTTCAGCATGCATGGGTGCAGATTTGCCCTCCATATTTTTATTTTAAATTTCTTGAATGGCTTTCCAATTTGCCAGTTATACTTAGAAACACTTTGTCCACAATGATGTTCCATATTAAGTAGTGGAATTTAGGATGGAGGTTAGCTACTTCTGAGTTATGATAAACAATGGAAGTCTCAGAAGTAGGGTTTTTTTTTTAGTTGAAAAAAGAATGCAAACTTCTGTAGCTTATCTTTTGTGCTATTTGCAGATGCACTTTCATCCATAAGAGGAAGTTTACCAAGCTTCATGTTCATTTCAGTCCACAAGATTAACATGCATTTTTAAAGAATCAAGACCAGGGTCAGGAGTATGCCTCCAAGGTACATGCATACCTATGTTTATAGCATCAGCATTCATAATGGCTAGATCTTGGAAGTGTCCTAAATGTGCATCAGCAGATGAATGGGAAGGATTAAAATATATACAGGTACAAATTCCCTATGATGAATGTGATCATTATGTATGGCAAATAGGTTCTACTAAAAACTAAATTGAAGAAACAGATGACTGGATAAAGAGAATGTGATACTGATACACAATGAAGTCCTACCTTGAGACCATAATGTTAAGTGAAATAAATCACACTCACAGGCTTAAGTATTGCATAGTTTCTCTTATATAAAGAACCTAAAATGTAAAGAGCAGAATAAAAAATAATTAGAAGTAGAGAGGTAGTCTCTTTCAAATGAGAAAGGGATCAAGAGATTCAGAGAGAGTCTCTGTTGCTGTTTCCTTATTGTTGGGACAAATACCTGACACCCAGAATTAAGGAAGCTAAGGTTTATTTAGCTCACAGTTAGTGGAGGTTTCAGTCCATACTCAGCTGCTCCAAGGCAGAGCGGCACATGGCAGAGGGCAGCAGTTCACGGCAGTGGAAAACAGCAGGGCAAGGGAAGAGCAGCAGCTGTGGCACTAGCAAGCCTGTCTCCCCTCCTTACACTTATGTGCAGATTATCTGCCCCAGGGAGGGAGAGAAAAGGGGGAAGGAAAGTGAACAAGAAAAGGAATGAAGATGTGTAACAACTTCACACAAAGAATATATTCATTATGTAATGCAAACATGTACTAATAAAAAAACTGAAAAAATGATGTAAGCTAAAAATAAGAGAAAATAAATCCACAAAGGAAGAATGCATGCCTTCCTTCCTTTCCTCCCCACCCCCCCAGTTCTCCTTCCCATTTGAACATTTTCTTTCCATTTTATAGTATCTATTATACATTTTGATCTTTATGTACACTTGTGGTTTTTCACACTAAAGAAACAACACAGTATTTACACACAGGTCCAATGTATTCACTTATGAATATGAGTATAGTCTCAAGGGAAAAGGAAAAAATGAGAAAAAAATGGGAACAAAGCTTTTATAAATAAGGAGGAGGAGAGGGGTTAAACATAAGGTAGAGGAATAGAAAAATAAACCAAATTGTAACGTGTACAGGTACAAATTCCCTATAATGAATGTGATTGTTATGCATACCTAAAATGTACCAATAAACTTCATTATAAAGAAGACAATGGCCAGTAGGTAGAAAGGAATTTGGCACTTCAAAAATTTTATTATTTTAAAAAGTGTTAAAAATCCAGTAAAACTTATTCTTTTAACTATTAAAAACAGAATGCATTTTAAAGGAAAGCAAGGGGCTGGAGAGATGGCTCAGTGGAATAAGTGCTTCCCTGGCAAGAGCAAGGGCCTGAGTTCAATTCCAGATTCCACCAAAAAAAAAAAAAAAAGGGGGAAAGCAAG